CCACTGCTTATATTATACCGAATTCTATACCGGGTACCAACCCCTTAGTTGACAGTCAGGGTCAGGGGAGAGGAAAGGTTGTTGATTCAGGAAGGGGGGGGGTATAAACATAATATAACCCAACAAAATAATAATCTTTCAAGAATATTTTAAAAATACATCGTGATACGCACCGATGTGTTTGTAACGCCGTAATGCTCTCTGCTCCTAGCTTAGACCTACTCCATAATTCAACAAGAGTCTGAGACAGTCTCGAGCGCTCAATAAAGAGTTTAATCGAGGAGGAGGAGGAGAAAGTGGGTGGTTGGCGGGTGCTCCGGTGTGGTGGTTTGTTTCTTTTTTTTGGTGTTTGTTACTCTCTTGTAACGCCTCTAATCTCCGGCACTTATATGACCTTATCGAGTTGCAAGTGCCGTAAAACACATACCAAAACTAAAAAGGGGAGGAGAAATAGGAGAGGAAGGAGTAGCGATCTGATATCAAAGATTGCTTGAGAGTAGTAGTTGCTGCATGATTATAGGCACAATTTCCACCCACACGCAATTGTAAAACACTCATAATAACGGGTTTTTATGAAGACGCTGGCTGCAAATGGTGATTCCTCCATCTACATGTCAACGTGTATCGACATCGTAGCCTATCGTGCATTCTCGAGTCCCGAAGGTTTGACAATGCCGATCATTACGATTGCGCACAGCTTACTGCACATGTGCAGAGGTGCATGGCAGCGTTCCCATTAGGCCTACTATTATTAATGAATCACAATTTGATGTTGCCAACCGTCTTTTCAGAGTCACTCATGAGAACAGCTTGCTCGCTTGTTCCAAGAAAAACACGTAATCTAGAAAAAGCAAACGACTCTTAATCCGAAGATTTTAGCTGACATTTATTTAGCAAAGAAGATACGCATGAAACCCAGTGCGCATTGCCAATCGAATTCCGTCACATTGAGTCGGGGCCAGCCAGACTATTCAGGGGCAAAAGCTACCATCGTCGTACAAATCGACCTAATTCGACTGAATTCGATTGCGATCTTCAAAAACTAACGATATGGATTGGCTGATATATCTAAAAAGCTATCGACATTTCCGTGCCTGTAGGATTCAAGAAACTCTCAATACACCAGCCATGATATGCGGCTGTTGGCCTTTGAAGCTGACATGGAAGGAATTGACTGTGTTGTGAATTGTAAAAGTTTTGAGTATAACAACACTGTGCACAGATTAAAGTTTTTAAATTTGACGCAGCAAAGGAGGAGGTCTATTCGCAGCGTGCACTGGAGCCGCACTTAGTTACCCCCGGTGCCCATTGGCAAGATCGGTTCGGTTCGGTTTGGTCTGGTCGTTGGGGCCACCCAGATGTTCCTCAATAGTGGGAGAAAAGTTACCAGCGTGGCACAAGCCAAACGAAACCGACGATGACATTCACGGACAAACGCGTTTTGTTTTCAAGGCCTCGAGTCGGGCGTTGGTTTGAGGCACGGGTCTATTTATAATATGCACTGAAGACGAAGATGCAGCCGCCAGATACCGAACCGAACCTAAATGAACCGCACCGATTCTCCAACGGACCCAAACCGATCTGACTCTATCGGATCCTATCAACGATATAACGAACATCGTTCCGAGGGTATTAGGCTACTCTTTCACTTTCATCCAAAGAGTATAATAATTGGGCATGCCGCCAGTTCAGTTGGCATGGTATATCATGTTTTTATTTGTTTGTTTTGTTGTTTTTTCCCCAGTGTTCGACAACCTTTGCTCGAATTAAAAAACAAAAACAACTATGCACACGAATTACATGTATTGATTGTGAAATCTTTTAATAATCCAACACTCGTGGCCTAGAGGTTAAGGTGTTGGCCTCTTATTCAAAAGTCCGGGGTTCGAATCCGGGTAGCAACAGAAAATTTTTCTTCTCTAAAATTGTCTCCTTTCCACCTCCTTTACTGCTCTCTGGCAATGTTCTGTCGTCTGCTCCCACTCCCTTACCCCCTTTGGCCCATCCTCTGAGCTCCTGACTCTTTCTGCAGTCTTTCTACTGCTTTACTCCTTTGCTCCTTCTAACTGGTGTATTTCAGCCACACCTCTGATCTTCTGGTAGGAAAGATCTACACCTAGCCTTCTCGGACAAGGGCGAAAAATCTCGGAGGGCCCGTGTGCAAGTTGCGTTCGTTAAAGATCCCTTGGTGGTCTAAAATCGATAAGAGTAGGCTTCGGCCGCCATCAGGACAAAATTCAATATTTCTTACCCACTGAAAACGTTGAATGTTTCCTGTGCGCTCATATGACCTTATGCAGTTGCGAGCGCCGTAAAACATTTCCCCCCATTAAAAAAAAAATCCAATATATATATGGCTCCATTTCTTCGTGCGGGTCCTTCGCTCAAGAGGTGTTAAATCTGACCAGTACCCTTCTCTTGAATATATTAAATGTGTTAAAACGGAATATAGAACTATACAAGAGCATACCAAAGACGAAAATATTGACAGGCTAGTTCAGCTTACAACTTTTAGGCTTCCTTCTTTTTCCATTTTCTTTCTGGGGAAGAAAGTCGTAGCAGCAAATACATGTATTGAGGAAAATCTAAACCGATCTGAGGGCCCCAATCTGTTTGAAATTTACCATTAAGCAACTTTTATTCCCCAACACGACATGATATTTTGTTCAAAAGGCAAGGGGTCCCTTCCCCAAAGGATAGACAGATAGATAGATAAATAAATAAATAAAAAGATAAAGTATAAATGATTGATTGAATGAATGAATGAATGAATAAAATAAATAAATACATTAATTAATCACTGAGCATTGGGAGTGGGGAGTCTTCAAACTCTCCAATAATAGCCCAACCTACTTGTATGTTACTTTGATAGCAAAGATTCTCCACTCGATTAAAGTGTGCTCAGTGGAAAAGTGAAATAAGGGCAATGACATAGGAGGAAGAGGAGGAGAAACAATTTTTTAAACTCATGCTGATGTGGTTATATATGTGTCCGTGCGTGCAAGTCGGTCACATGTTTGAGCTCATCTGTTGTGTGTGTGTGTGTGTGTGTGTGTGTGTGTGTGTGTGTGTGTGTGTGTGTGTGTGTGTGTGTGTGTGTGTGTAAGTATTTGTAAGCAGCCCACAAATATTTTGCTGTTAAACAAGTCCACAAGAGAAACGCATTTCAGTAACTCTAATCTTTCCGCAATTTCTTGCTTTCTGGTCGTAAAATCGACTTTCATCTTTAGGTCTATATTTGGAAGATTGGTCTTCTGACCGTTTTAAATTATATATTGTGCATCATGTATAATATATTATTCTGGCCAACATAATTGAAACAGCGATTTAAAACTACAAGAACGTCGGAGGTATTACTAGCATCACTTATATAAAGGTGAATAAAAACTCAGCACATACTTAAAAAATTTTTTTTATACATACGTTAAACTATTTTGTTATTTTCTCATATTGCTGGGCCTTTAGCAGTTTTAATAATTTTTTATTGGTGTATATGCAAATGCAGCCCACATGTCATTGTACATAATATTATAAAGATACAATTACATCAAGGAGATTAAAAGTTCTAAACTCCTTGAATTACACTGTAATGTATTCCATGCCATAAAGGCAGCTTATTGTACTATGTAGGTGTACTGAGTTTTGCTTTGATTTTGCTAGTCGAGAGTATTGCCAAAACGACGTGTGATTTTCTATTTCAAAATTGTTGACGACATACTTACTGTATTCAGTTGAACACAAAAAGAGATACATTTTTGTTACATGTATTTTTTAAAAAGAAATAGATAAACCATAACAATTTGAGGCTCTCAGATGTTTGGCATGGAAATACATTAGCATTTGATTCCTTTTCCCATGTGTTTAGCTATGCGCTGAAATCTGGCTAGTTTCTGCTTTCCCGCGAAGACCAGAATGCTGAGGTTGTAAACAATGATGGGTTGCGGCGCCCACTGAGATTACCATTTCAATGAGTCTTCATTCTGTTTTATATTGTTAATTTGTTTCCCATTAGCTGATTTCTTGAAAGGTATGTTTTATTTTGGAAGTTATATTGTGGTTTGTAGAGTAGTATTTTCCGGCAAGTTAGTAAACCAGATCTGGCTAACTCCAACTTGTGACGACTGGGCCTGCACAGAATGTGATGCGGCGCCTTGTCATTTGGTGTTGACAGCACAGTGTGTGCTGGCAAGCAACCAGTTTAGGCCTACTCATTTGTCACTCTTCTTGGTTGCCCTAAATGTTGATTGGAGATTCTTGATTAGATTCTAGAGAGAAGTGAAAAGTCAAGGTATCTTGAAGGATGTGGCTATTCTCACCGGTGAGAATAAAAGGAAGTGGGCGCTTTTTCGGTAGTTCCCACCCCGCAATTGTTATTCATGGGTTTTGGCCCCAAGAGTAGGGGGGTTTCAGGGGCTTGCCCCCTGACCTAATAAAAATAGGAAGGGGGGTTTCAGGGGGGCATGCCCCCCTGAATTTTACCATAATTTAATGTTTTAAGGTTTGATATCTTAGCTCACCGCGAATCAAACGTACAGATCTAGAGATCTAGATTCTAGATCTAGATCTAGATCTAGATATATCTAGAGTCTAGATCTAGATCTAGATGTAGGTCAAATAAGGGGGGTGGGAACTACCGAAAAAGCACCAGGAAGTGGCTATTCTCATCCGGGGTGAGAATAGAAATACGATCGACCTCTCACTCCGGGTGAGACTTGCGACCGTAGGCTATTCTCACCCGGTTTGAAACAAGACCTGTTTTTCCTAATTTCGGAATACTTTCTATCGATGTGGATGATCAAATTGATTAAAGCCAAGAAAAAATTACGTTATAACACAAAAGACAAAGTAAGCTAATTTGATCGTCTTCAAAGATGCTATACTATGGCTATTTCACTGTTCGAATCGAGCCGAACTACGCGGGTCGCCATTTTGTTTTGCCCGGAAGTTCTCACAATATCTACTCCTCCCCTCTCTCTCTCTCCGTCTCTTTCTGAATACTGTCTATGGGTGTGGACGATCAAATTGACTAGGACGATCAAATTGACCAAAACAAAGTTAAAAAATGATGTTAAAACACAAAAGTAAATTAATTTGGTTGTCTACAAAGGTGCTACGACTATTTAACTTTTCGAATCGAGAAAAACTACGCGGGTCGCCATTTTGTTTTGACCGGAAGTTCTCGCGCTACTCCTCTCTTTCTCTCTCTCTCTACGCTGCCCACAGACAAAATTGTACGTTTTTAGTAGGCTACAGTTGTAATGGAACGTTTGTTCACGGCACAGAATTCTACAATTTTTCTGTTATCACAGAGTAGAATTCTGTGGTTTAGGGTGAACGCAAAATTTGTTGGCCTAGATCTAGGCTATAACGGTGAACGCGCACCAGGTGAGAATAGCCAAAAGACTCGCCTGCACTATTCTCACCCCGGGTGAGATTGACCTCTCACTGAGACTGAGTGTCTCACTCCTGGGTGAGACTTGCCAGTGTGAAACAAGACCTGTTTTTCCTAATTTCTGAATATTGTCTATCGGTGTGGATGATCAAATTGACAGAAACAATGAAAAAAATGATGTTATAGCTCAAATGTAGTCTTAGACTTAGTCCCCGATTGGTCAAAAGCACGTCTATCTCAATTCAATTAAGAACAATCAAATATTTCAAAAGGAAGGACTTCCGTAACGAGCGACCACCCCATCAAACAAACACAATAAAGAAGAGGCCTAGACATACCCTACCCCTAACCCTAACCATACCCTTACTGGTGATCTTATACTTTAGCACGTTAAATTCCCAAAGCCAAAGTCTACTAGAATCTAGATCTAGATCTAATCCCCGACTCAGACCTTCAAAACTTTGAACTGGGCCTAAAAATGCGCAAACTACCGTAATTTTGTCATGAACAGATCGTATAACTGGTTTTCGGTCTTCTCTTATGATTTTGGAAGCCATTGAGTATAATCTTGATGTCTTGATGACTATAGGATTTAGATCCAGATCTAATTGTGGTCGCTCATTTCGGAAGTCCTCAATTGAAGAATTTAACGTGAGCTGCTAAAGTTTAAGATCACCCCCTTACCCCTACCCCTACCCCAAGCCCTCAATTCTGCTCTGTCTCATAGTGGTCGCTCCTTACGGAAGTCCTCCCTTTCAAAAACTATTAATTTGCGATGGAAATGAAGTTGATATTCGTGTTCAGTGCATCAATATCTAGATCTAGAGATCTAGTAAAAAATGGACAACTGGTAAAGTGTGAGACGGAAGGGAAAGTAAAAAAATACTGCGACAGCTATTTCACTTTTCAAATCGAGCCGAACTACGTTACGTTGGTTGCCATTTTTTCCCCCCGGAATTTCTCTCTACTACTAGATTTCTACTCTCTCTCTCTCTTTTTCTCTTTCTGAATACTGTATCGGTGTGGACGATCAAATTGACAAACACAAAAAAATGATCATGTTATAGATCTAGTATAGTTTCGCCCGGAAGTTCTCGCTAAGTGATCTCCTCTCTTCACCCCCCCCTCTCTCTCTCTTTCTCTCTCTCTCTTTCTCTCTCTCTCTCTCTCCCCTCCCCTCCCCCCTCTCTCTCTCTCTCCCCTCCCCTCCCCCCCCCTCTCTCTCTCTCTCTCTCTCTCTCTCTCTCTCTCTCTCTCTCTCTCTCACTGCCCGCAGACAAAATTGCATTCTTTCAACACAAGAGCGCTAGAACGTTTGTTCACGGTGAAGGCTCGCCGGATGAGAATAGAGGTGGCCAATCAAGAATCTAATTTTATAGTGAATAATAGTGGTTGCTCTAGTTGGGGAGTCCTTCTGACTTGGGATCCTCCTGTCTTAGATTTCATTTTATTACATTTTGATGATAATATTGTCATGTTTTTAGTTAGATCTCTGGATCTAGTACAGGAAATCTTCCAGCAGATTTACATATATTTAACTCTGGTCCTGCGGGCTTTACCGGAAGAGTATTATCGATCGATGACCCACTTATGTTGCCCATGAGCTTGCGCTGCGGGGAGTCGGGGTCAGAAGGCGGTCAGGCGAGCGTGCCGCAGGAGTCAGTTGTAAGTGATGAAAGAAAACAATGAAAAACATGCCTCATCGTATAACAAATTGATAGTGGGGCTCTCCTGGCCTAGAGGTTAAGGTATTGGCTTCTCATTCAAAGGTCCCGGATTTGAATCCGGGTAGTGGCCGAAAAAAATTTTTCTCTAAAATTGTGCACATTAAAGATCCCTTGGTGGTCTAAAATCGACAAGAGTAGGCTTCGGCTGCCACCCGGGCAACATTCAAAATTTCCTACCAACTGAAGAAGTTTAATGTGTCCCGCGCGCTCATTTGACCTTATATGCAGTTGCGAGCGCTATAAAACCCTTACCTAACACCCCCCCCAAAAAAAAAGAAAACCCGAATTGATGGGATCTTTGAATGGGGGCCTAAGCCTAAGTGTTATGACCGCATGAATAATCCCCTTATGATGATCCCCTTGTCTGTTGACCAGATCAAACGCTGAGATTGGAAGTTACACCAAATCGTATATAAGTCCCCTGTTATGAACTGGGAACAGTCGCTTATCAGATATTGTCCGAAAGGGGGGGAAATGGGATCGTTTCTGAATATTTTTCTCATTCAGTTGCTCTCAAATTTCTCCCTCTGGTTGTGCAATGATCTTAAAAACCATCAAATATGATTATTCGCGTCAGGAAACAGCGTAGTTTTAGGAAAAAATGAGTTCATTTGAAAAGGTGTTTGCATTGAAAGATGAAAGTCAAATTTCCTGAATATCCATTCGAGTTCCTCAAGTGTCTTACTAGGTCAAAATGCTCATATTTCATTGGATGAACATCTCTACCAACCCTTTGAAATAGGGCTTTTAGTCAGATGGAGTATCATCATTTTTAAACTTAATTTCAGGTGCTTCCTGCAGGAAGGATCTAGGCAAGTAGAATCATGTCACAGTCCGTGAAAGATTTACTGGCAGTGTTAGAGAGCAAAAACTGCAGGCAGGAGGACAAGTGCTCTACATACGTAGACTTGGCAAGGTTGGTAAAAAATAAATTCATGGTTTTTAAGAAAGTTATGTTTTATCTGGACTGATAACAGCAAGAAAGTTGTATCATATGATGTTACCGGCTTCTGTGGTGTAGTGGGTAAGTGCTTTGCTGTGGCACGTAGACCTAAGTTTGATTCCCAAGCAGTGAGAAATTTTCTCAGAGTTTCTTGGTCTTCCTGACTGGCACGGTCAGAAGCCCGGGTCCTTAATGATCAAAATAATGTTAATCCTTTCCTTACGCCTTGGGGTCATTATTATGTACCCCCGGGGTTGTATTCTTCACATTTTAGAATACTTGTAGTGCGAAGATCTCTTTGAAACTTTCAGTATTTCTCAAAAAATCATTTTGACAGACTGCTAAGCAAAGCGTACGGATCGGATTAACCAGTAAATTTCCTCTATGGAGAGTGGTGGCACAGAGTTCCCCACGTCATATTGATACGATAGTAAAACATGACGTATGGATGGGTTAACGGGGATGTATAAACACCTGCATTAAAAAAAAGAAGAAAAAATGTCTTTTGGGGGGCATTATTATGAATTGTTAACTGGTCTGTATCCATTCTGTACTTTTTGGGTTATTCATTCTGGTTGCTAAATAATTTCATGAGATGGGAGTTCTATTCAGTCCTGTACATTTAGTGGTAAGACTGATGCACCACTTAAGCCATGTTCTAATCTCTCTTGTCACATCAGAGAACAGTCACTTTTTTTTTTTAAAGACGCTTATTATGTTTATTGATGTAGCTAGTTAAACTTAAATGGTTCTGTGGATTTTATTAAATGTAGCGGGGGGGGGGGGGGGGGGGAACCGAATTCTCAATAGCGCCATTTTACTAATTGTTTTGTTTTTCTTTTTTTCCACAGTAAAGTTCACAAAGACAATGTAGAGCTAAACATTTCTGAACTTCGTGCTCATAGCCCTCGGCTATTGAAAGTCTCGGCCAGAGATTTATCAAATGAGGATGAGGTCACTGTGAAAAATGTATTGGAGGTTTTGGCTTTCTATCTGCAAGATGAACAGATTGGAAGGTAATCAAAAGGGAAAGTTTGGGGGGTTTTTTTCCCCAGTGTTTTGGGCTGACACTTTTTATGATTCTCTTCAGTTTGTCACATCGTGTGGAAGGGATTGTGTAGATAGTACGCACTCATTTTGTTAAGTGTTTGTTTTTTTAAGAAACACATATATGATTTTTATTTTTGGCTGTGTAGAAATCCTACTTTAATTTGTTCATGTATTAATTGTGAACTTTTTTTGTTACTGTATTAATAAGGTAGGATGGTATGTACATGTGTTAAAGCTGGTCACTCTCCAATGGTTAAAGATTTTGGTCTTCATATTGTGTTCTAGCCATTGATCAGTCTTTTCAAATCTATGAAACGTTCAGGATTGAAATGTAGTGCAGACCATTTATCTTGTTGCAAAAAACAAATTACAGGAGGATAATGTGACTTTTTTGTGAAAGTAACACTGAAAGCATTGTTTGTGTATATATATTTCTTGCAGTTTGCTCTAAGAAATATGCCTTGAACATTTGATCAAGCCCTGAGCAATAGAAGAGACATAAGTTTTATTCCTTTTTTTTCCTCACGTCCTCAGCCTTCAGAAGACGGATAGTTCCTCCATTCTCCATGCATTACTGAAGTGCATGAAACGCACCAAGTCTACAGATGTGATGAAGCAGAGCCTGTTCTGTCTGGCTGTTCAAAAATTCCACATTGATGTTGTTCGGTCAGAAGTAAGTTTTATGTTTGTTTCCTCAGCACTGGAATTTGTTTTGTTTATCTGCTTGTGCTTTCAGCACTTTTCAAATAGAGTTGAAATTGTCAGAGTTGTCCATCTGTTATGGAGGAGAAAATGTGGGTGTCTTAGACTGTGTTATTAAAATATGAGGAGTCCACTGAAAAAACGGGCATAGTCACAAACTGGAAATTGTGAGGGTGTCAGTTTTAAAAGCTTGTGGACTCAATAACTTCATATTTGTTTGATTGGTGGTTTATTTTATATGTTTGTTGGATGGGAAATCTAATAACAATAATCAACCAACAGCTGAACAAATACAGTTTGGAGTCAACAAATGTTCAAAATTGATACCATCACCATTTTCAGTTTGTGACAATGACCCTTGTTTTGTTTTTTCAGTGGACTCCTCATATATAAAGAATGCAAGGGGGGCAGTGGGAAGTTGTTGTTTGGACAGGTAGCTGTTAGAGCAGGTTCGACTGCACATAATAGTAACAAAGAGATTTTATGGATAAGTTTATGAAAAATTATTGATTGTTTTAGGTTATGTGAAATAAATGTTACTGTTAATTAGTTTTGTAACCATAGGAATAACCCATCACTTTTTTTCCCCCCAGTTTTCTGCTGTGCTTGAACATGTGGAAGAAGCTGCCAGCAAGTTGAAGGCCCAGTCTTTGTTAAACTCTGAAGAGCTAACCAATGTATTCATAAAGTGGGTGTAACATTATTTTATGTGCCCATATCTCCTTTTATCTTGTGATAATTAATTTTTTAAACTGGATTATCTTTTTTTAAAAAAACTTTTCCATTTTTGTTTTGGGGTGGGGTTTTTGAGAGGTTTTTGGGTTTTTTTGGTGTTTTTTTTGCAATATTCCAATGACATGGAAACATTGCTATAAAAAAAAATTCTATTCTATAGAAGGGTTGTGGCAGTATCAAGTATCGGGTTTAATCTACAGAGATGTGAGTAGTCTTTTCAAGTTATGTAAGACAAAAATTCCCATTAATCTAGTCAGTTCTATATAATTTTGAAAATGGTTATCAAAATTTATTTCTGTTCATCTTAGAATTTCGACCATTTCTTGCTAAAAGTATAAATATGTGAGGGTCATTCATCTCTGGAAATTTGTGGTTATGACTAAAAATTTGTAAAATTTGCAGAATTTTGAAATTTCTTGTAATGTCCTATTTGTTTCAAGGACGTAAATTTTTATAAAGTTCCCCCTTCATTCTACTGATAGTTAATCATGATAATGTTTGTGCGTAGTAAAATTTTGAGTTACATGTTTTGGATACCAATCTTTTCCTCTTTAGGCTTGATGATCAGTGCAAGAGCGGAATGACCTCGGCTGTGTTCAGATGGGGTCGGCTTGTTTTTCCCGGTCTGGCCTCTACGTCCGCTTCTGTCCAAGATAAATCTTTGCAGCTTCTGCAAAAGTATGCTCATGAGCTCAAGGCTTCTGCTGAAATGAGAAAATATGTCATCAAAGCCATTACCTCTGTAAGTATTTTTGTATGTCTGTGTGGGTGGTTGGCGGGTGCGCTCTGGTGTAGTTTGCTTCTTCTTTCCTATCAAACATTTATTGTCCTTATCTCCCCTCCTTCTTTTTTATGTGTGTTACTCTCTTGTAACACCTCAAATCTTCTGGCGCTCATATGACCTTATGCAGTTGCGAGCGCCGCAAAACCTCTTCTAAAGCTAAAACTGAGTATCAGTAAGTAGGTGTCATGTAGGTTCTCTGATGTGGTGTGGTGTGCCTTTTCTAATTTTATTTCTCTGTGTTGCCATCGTTTTGTTTCCCTGTTTCAGTACTGTCAGAGGCAGTGCCATCCGTCTTCGAATTTAATTGCTTTGTGTTTGTGGTTTTCCTTTTTGATGAATATTTTGTTTGTTTTGCTTTGAAATATTTTACTCGTGGGTTATTGGCTTTGGTATGGTTTGCTCCTTTCCTATCAAGCATCTATTGTCCTTATCTCTCCTTCTTTTTAAGTGTTTGTTACTTTCCTCTAACACCTCTAATCTTTGGCACTCATTTGACCGTATTGTGTTGCAAATGCCATAAAACTCCTGCCTAGCTAAAAACAAAATATTTTACTCTGAATTTGCACAATGATACTGTCAGGTGGTGGTGGGTTATAAATGTTATAATTCTTGATTCTAATCCTAATCGTTAAGGGTTGGGTTTTTTAAAGGTACTTTATTCAACATGGTTTTTTGAAAAATTGTATTGACTTACCTTTGTAACATTTATTTTTGCTTTTCAGGGATTAGCCAATTCCCTGAAGTGCTTGGTGGTCAAATGTGAGGAACATGTCCTCAGGGCCTGGACTCTTATCGTAATTGTTGCAGGAAAGGTTGGTTTTACCGTTTGTAGTTTGTGTAGTATCTTGTTGTCTTAGCGATCAACTACTAGTTGTATTGTTGTACTCTCATCAGTTTTTACTCTAAAGACGGTGGCTAGAATTTTTAAAGTCAGAGTTTGCCTATTGACTCTGACCTACCATGTGTGAAAAAGGCGTTAAGCTTAAAAATATTGTCTATTGTACTTTTACAAAACAATTGTCTATTTATTGTATTTGTACAAAATTTGCCTATTTTGCTCTTCATCAAGTTTTTAAAAATTAATGAAATTGGAAAACTTTAAAAGTTTCGTTTTGTTACCCGGAAATGCTTTCAGTCATCATTGTGTACTGATCCTTGTAAACTTTATTTCATCAGGAGCTCCACAAAGGACCAAGCATCAATTTGTTGCTGGAGATCATAGAGATTGGCTTTAAAGGATCCCCTCAAGCTAGATGCCTGGCATTTGTTGCTTGGAAGACTTTGGTGGATAATTTTGCTCTGGATCAAGGTACTGCTCTTATTTCTTCTGTACTATGAATTGGTCACTTTTTATTTATTTTGTATTCTTTTATGCATTATGGCTTATGTGAATTGTGTTATCTTATCAAGAGACTCCTTAGATTAAATTTAATGTTCTTATCCTTTTTGTATTGTCGCCAATGATTTCATTTATTAATTGATATTGCCATAAACAGAAAGAAAAGGTGTAGCCTGCATCTGTCTCTTCTGGAGAAATTGTAAGCCTGCATGTCCACCAAACCAGAAATAACAAAAAAACCTGGGAAATCCATTATTGAAAAGAGCAGCAGTTTTAATGTAGCAGTCGGTGAGAATTCTGTTTGGACGTATTTATTAACACGACACAATTCCCTCCCAACAAAATACAGGTTGGTTGGAAAACAGATTTTGAATTTGGTTGTGCAATGACTTATCAGCCGTTGGACTAGCCAGAGCAAAAAAATTAAAAAAAAAATCTACTTGGGTTTGAAGAAAGATCTAATGCCTCAAAGTTAACAAAGTTTATGTGTAAACCTAAAATGAGCGTTTGTTTTCTCACTTTTTAATGTTTTCTGTTCTCTCTAAACAGCAATAATCTCAGATCCAAAACGCATCAAGCTCATTATGATGGTCCTGAAAGTTGACAATGCCAAGACAGAAGCCATTGCCTTGGAGAAGTTGCAGACGTGGTGGCATTTTGTCACATCAGTGGGACCGAAACTCTCCGCCAACTTTGAACAGGTTTGTTGCCGTAAATGTATAGTTTAAAACATTTGTTTTAGTGTATAGGTTTTGTTGACAAGGATGGGTGGTTGACCAGCGCTCTGGTGTGATTTGCTCCTTCTGTCCCATGAAACAAGTCGTCTTTATCTTTCATTCTGCCCCCCCGGGGTACTGCCTCTGACTAGTGTCTTTAGGCCATTTCCAGGGGGGGGGGGGGGGACATTTCTCGTTCAAGCACAGTAGAATTGTAAATGGGCTGATTCATGTCACGCTCATAACTGTGTCTGATCTACAACAGGGAACTGCTGCTTTTTCTTTCCTAATCCTTACTATTGTCATTTTCCCTCTACTTCTTTTGTATGTTTGTCACTCTCTTGTGACCTGCTATTTTTGGGGTGCCTTGATAGTTGAAGCAGACCTTGTGCTGTTGAAGCTAGAGAGGTGAGCAGAATAAGTCTGATTCCCTGTAAAGACTTCTCTGTTGACACCCGCCCCTTGGCGCTCATATGACCTTATGCAGTTGCGAGCGCCGTAAAACCCTCTACTATAAAAAAAAATTAAAAAATCTTTCGTTCCTCTTTTCTTTGAATCTTACTAGATAGACCTCTAATTTTGCGGCACTTGTTTGTCCTGTGTTGCAAGTGCAATTAAGCTCATTCTGAGACCAAAATAAAGTTGACAAGGGATTTTATATATTTTGAAATGATTTTCCCGCAAAATATTGCTGTTTGTGTGTTCCCTTGAAGATATTTGTCTGATGAATGAAATGTCTAGCGTCAACCTCCATTAACAGTCTGAAAAGTAGCTAAAAGAAATCCATTATTTCTGGAATTAAGTAGTACTCAGTTTGAGTCATTTTCAAATGCCCTGAGAATGTTTTGAAAATGATTGTTATCTCTTCATCCCTCCCCCAGATCATAGTACCATTACTTCAGTTCTGTGTTGGCAGTGGAAAGTTTTCTTCGAGCGGTTTGACACAGTCTCCTCTGTTAGGTAAGCCAGACTTAGTAAAAGAATTTTCATTGTATAATGGAATTGTTGATTAAAAAAAAACCTATCACTATATAGAGTGTACAAATTGACTACTTTTCTTGTGCAGATTTTCTTTCTGATACGTATTCTGCTTGAGAATTTAAAAAGAACTTTGTTTAGATTTCATATTTATAGATACAAAAGTATAAAAGATTTATTGATTGAAAGTCTTGGTTGTTGCAACGTTTTCCTGATAAGGCTTATAAGTATATTGCTTTTAAAAAAATGCTACAGAACGTTAGTGGAATAAAAGTTTTTGTCTCCTTGATATTGTTAAATTACTTTTGATCTGAGAAGTAACTTATAATAGATTATAAGACACTTTTATTTATTTTTTTGTTTATCAAATAATATTGGAAAAATCTTGAATCGTGTTATATCTGAAATTTACCCATGCATAATCTTTTTATTAGTATGTGATTGATATGCATTTTTCAGTTCACAATAAGCTTTTTTCTTGTGAGTTACATCGCATTGTATGTTCTTCCTCTCATCAGCCCTGAAGTCACCGATGCACAAGTTGCCTTTGAGCCTCGGGTCAGGAAAGTCCATCAATCCGCAGCTGCCAGTGTTTCCAGCTCTGCAAATCCTTGGCATGGAAGTCGTTGCTCGCATTTTGGCAAAATCTGGAAAGCAGGACGCAGGAGGGAAAGTCACTTGGAGTCTGGGTACAGTTTGGATTTCTTATTTTCTATAATTATGAGTGGTTGTCGGGTGCTCTAGTGTGATCTGCTTCTTGCTTCTTCTTTCTTATCAAACATCTGTCCTTATCTCTCCTCCTTTTTATTTGTATTTGTTACTTTCTTGTAAAACCTCTAATCTTCGGCAATTATGTGACCTTATTGTGTTGCAAGTGCCGTAAAACACTTGCTAAAACAAATTATTCTCTAGAATTAATGTGATTGTTCCTGTGTCAGGGGTTACAAGAATGGGAATAGTTTTATTGCTGAGATTTGTTGTCCTTCAAGTCAGTTGCTGGTTTTTCAAATTTTGATACAACTAGTTGGTAGCAAACTTGTCTAGTGCATGGAAGGTTACGGTTCAAATCTGGGTATGGTTTGAGTTATCTGTATCATTCCAGGTCCTAGTGCCCCACCACTGATATTCCTTTGATTGTGCATACAGGAAACACAAAAGTGAAAACAAAAACCTGAGGGAGTAATGCTGTGTACAGAAATTTTTACCTATGACTTTTTAGTTTATCTTTTAAAAAAGGATGCCGTCTCTCTCATATCATGCATGTATCAATACCGTAACTTGAAAATTCTCTTTTGGTTTTCATTGCTTCTTTGTTTAGTTTGATTATATTTTGTCTCATAGTTTTATAATAAATTTCTGTTTGCATAACAATTTCTCATGTGACTAAAAATGATATTTTCAGCTAAAATTCCTCAAGAAGTGTTGGCTGGGTCCAATTCCTTTGTGAAGCATGCTCCCAACTTGCTATTTACGACTCAAGAGCTCTTGAGAAATGTCGGACATGATGTGGAAGGTAATGATCAGTTATTATTTGCACATTTTTACCTCATTGTACCTGTATTGGTAACAACATCCCCATTGTACTGGCAGCTTCTACAATAACAGGGTTAACGATCTGACGGTCTTTTTCTTTTTTTTTTTTCTTTCGAAATGTTGGTGAGGAGTTGAAAGTGGGCCGGTTGACTCCCAAAATTTATCTGCTTCTGAACCTAGTGCCTCTCTCTGAACAAAATTTTATTTCTTTGCATTTTGGGTGTCCAAAAATGCTTTGGACGCACTTCAAAGTGCTTCACTCCCTTGAATGTGAGTCTGGAGTCTGATTGGCCAGCCTTAGTGAGATAATGATTATGCTTTGTTTGAAGGTAGACTTTATGTTTCAACCACCTCTTGATTTGATTGCCAGAATGTTATGTCATCACACCTTGATTTTTAAAAACTTGTCTCTTGCAGTTCATCTTCTTTGTTTTTATACTTATTATGTATTAATATATTGGCACTAATTGAAGCTCATTTGTTGCTTTTGGGGGAGGGAGGATTTTGTTTTGTTTTGTTCTTTGATAGAGAATTGTGTTTGTTGAAATGCATAAAGGACTGATTGTTGGTGTGATTAGTCTTTCAGTTTGGTGTAATAGTAATTGCATTTGATGTGTTCAATAATCTATCCGCAGGGGCCTTGATTGTGTACGTTTGGACAAATTTTGTAAATCACTTGAGAACTGCCATGGAAAGCCCCGCCAAGATAGACTGCAGGGATGTATACAGCTCTTTCCTGTCTGTGTTGCATACTGTGGTGCAGAATCAAATGCTGGATGGAGCAATGCTTGTGGTAAGTTCGGAGACACTTAAATATGTGTCACAAAACGGTGGAATCAGGTGCTTGTCAATTATTGGGCATATGGAGTTATTGGTTTAATCTTAAAGCAAGATAAATTAACATGCTTTAATGGGGGGGGGGGGGGATTCAAATTCTCTTGAATAGAAATTGAGACATTTGTGATTGAAGGGGGCTACCTGATGCCAGGAGTGAAATTGATGAGATGAGAGGTGGCAGCCACAGTTTGGCGACTTTCATAGCTTGAGTGTCCTTGGAAACTGGAAATTACATTTTTGGTGCCTTTGATTTTAAAAAAAATTTTGTTGTAAAAATCCAAACAGAAATGTGTTTTTGAATTGGCTTAAAAGATGTTGAGCAGAAAACAATAATAAATTCGATAATAATGGGTGGGAACTGTCGGTTTCTTGGATTTCTTTATTTTGATGAGGGCCTGATTTCGCCATGACCCCATTCATATCTGAACATCATGAACCTTCTGTTTTTTTCTAAGTTCTTTTTGTATGAATGTACCGTGTTTCCTAGACAGTAAAAAACATTACCATTGTAACAAATATTGGGCAAACACTAATGTCTCCAGCATTATCAGATTCTATGTTTTCTACTCCCATCTTTTGCAGAAATTGATTGAGATTAGCAGCAGTTTCCCCCAGAAGGTTTTGGCTTCCACAGCGTACAACATTACTGGAGGACAGACTGTGAGGGTGAGTATTTGCGTCCTCATTTGTGAAGTCATGATTTGGCTTTTTCTCTGTATGAAATGATTTTTTTTTTTTATTCTTCGAGTCTGTGTTCTTCTGTGTTTTTTGTTCTGATATTATAAAATTCAAGAATATATTCTTTGAATCATTAAACTGACTTTTATGAAGTTGCAGCCATTTTCAACTTGTTTCCATAACACAAGCTCTCTTTGGAGGCCAGTTTAGCTTATTTTGTTCCTTAACACCATATATTTATTACTGCTTAGGTATCATAAGTACAAAATATTGAGAATAATTCTTGAAATGGTTGAAGATGGCTGCATTTGAAACTGTTGGCTTTATGAAAAAAATGCTGCATGGCAATTTAAAAAAAGAATTGTACTTCCTCTTCGCAGGCGTGCCCGGCGCTGTTGCTGAGCGAGATGCTGCTGACGCCTTGTGTCATGTCAGGGGCCTCTGTCAATGACAGGTGAGGGAGTCATGATAGTAATTAATTAAATTAAAAATAATGGATTATTAGGATGGTGTATAGAGTATGGGTTTCTTTTGTGTCTATAAGATGGAAAAGGTCAGAAATTAAATGCTTAACACTGAGTTAGTTTTACCCAAATCCTCCAGTGTTTTTTTAAGAATGAATGGGGGGAGGGGGCGTTTGCTTTCTAGAAATGTGTTTTCCTTGGAATAGTAATCTGATCTCTCACGATTGTCATTTTTCTATAATCGTTGTTTTGATTTTTCAGTTACGTCAAGCTGTTCTCGTCCCTGATTGGTGCTGGGGCCAGCAACGTCCAGGGTGCGCTGCTCTTCCTGCAGTCTGTGACCGGGCTACTGGGCACCCAGGCTGGACTCTGTCATTCTGCCGAGGCTCTGTGGAGGATGTGGAGTGTGATTGCTCACACCTTGCAGGACAATGTCAATGTGGTGGGTTACTTTTAAGTTTGTACTGGAAGTCAGTTCTTGTCTTAAGTCGGAATATTTCATTCATCTCTGTATTGTAGTTCGTGGAGATGGGAAAATGCAAAGAAATAAAGGCCAGTGCTTTGAACAGGGCTTTAGCAAGGCAACCTTCCTGAGAGAGAAAGTGACTTACAAAGTTATGTCTGGAAATTGTTTCTTTTCTAATTGATTTGACTGTACTTTGCACTGTTGTGTATTCGAGGAACTTGGGTATGTCTGGGTTGTTGGTTTTTTTTTTAAATTGGAAAAAATTGTAAGTATTAACAATGCTTTCGTTATTAATTTTTCAGACAAATGAAGTCAACCAAGGTGACTCTCTGGAGTATAACTTCGACTGCGTCAATGCTGTCCTCTTGTTCCCAGTGAAGAACCAACTCCCAAGTAAACTGTCACAGGTACGTTACTGTTGTTTTCTTTGTAGTCTGAACCGTGCGGACTTAAGCTTAGTGACTTCTACCCTTCAAACCTCAGTGTAGGGTATGGATATGTAAACTGAACTCCAAAGGGCTCAAATATTTTGGTCCTGGACACCTACGATTGCATAATATTTGAGAAGGGTAAAATTGTCTTATAATGATTTAGTGTCCAGCTGCTTTTACAGTAATGACCTGTGCAAGCTCCTACTGTACCTAGCTGTGATACAAATGGCATGTGATGGTCTACAAAATGTTTGTTTGAAAACACTTCTTGAAGTCAAACAACACACCCCATGCCCTTTATTCCAAACATGAAGCATCTTTGAAATTTCTAACAATGTGAAAGGAAATATGATCAGCTCAGTTTGTAATCTTAATGACATTTTTGTGTGAAAATACTTCTCTTTTTAATTTCTGAATCGTCCAAAGTCAACCATTTGTGCATGTGCTTTACTGCGCATACAAAAGGTGTTATTATACATTAGAATGAAATTAATTTTGATTTTCCTTCAGACGGTGTGCAAAGCTCTGTTGAAACTGTGGAAGGAAATATACCACAGTTTTGCCCGATTGTCGGCCCTCGTTGCAACAGCAGAAGCCAACACATGCTTGGAAGAGTTTTGTGGCAAGCTTTTGCAAACATGGCTACCAGAATTCAAGGTAAACAAAACCCCCAAAAACTAGAGTGGTTTTAAAATTTGTGATCAGAAAAGGAAATAAGTGGATAATTAACACTGACATTACTTTGTAGCTGAAGTCATATCTTTAAAACTCTTGGCCTGTGAATTAGTTGTCACAGTTTGTTTATTGGTGATGTCATCATGATTTTTTGTTGGTGTTTGCAGATTTTGTGTCCTTTTATATGTAAGTGTATGTGTTTTGTTGATAGAACTGATGAAGTTTAATGATTTATATATTTTTAGTTGATAAAATATGAGAAGTATTACAGTTAACAAATGATTTTAGGTGAAAGGACATCAGGAGTGTATCGATATAATGTACACGTTTGAGTAAAATGTCAGGAGTAAAACAAGTTTTCTTCATGGGGCCTGTTATGTCATATGAAGTTTGGTTGATATTTAATTTTCAGTGTAGATTCGAGACGTTGACCCAGTTTTGAAAATTAATTTTTTTTCCCCCAGGATCCTGTGTTTTTGGAATTCTTGACCTCAATTTGTCAGAAAACTTTGGATTGTGTTGACTTCTCGGCTATGTCAACCAGCCAGCAACAGAGTGGACTTACTCTGAGCCCCAGCAAGTGGGCACGCCGGAGACATAAACCTCTGGGAAATCTTCACTCTTTTGTGCATTTGGTGTCCATCATACAACAGGAGGCAAATGTGCACATTACTGGTACAGAGAGCCTAGAGTATCAACAGGTAAGTTCAGACTGATAAATGTTTTTCCTATACATGAAATGATTTTTTTTGTTGTATTTTACTGTAGTCATGTATCCTCTTATAATATATATTCCTGAGTATTCATGCCAAGTCTTCACTGAATTTGTCTGCCTCTGTAATGTTGTTAGGGTAATCAGACCCACCAAGAACTGATTTTTTTATTTTTTTTGCCCATAGAAGAATCGATGTTGAATTTGCATGAAACTTTTTTTGTGTGGAATCCTGTCTCTGTTGGTTTTAATTGACTTATGATAAATGACATGAAAATACCCTTTTTAATTTGTGATTTATTTGCAATATTTGCTCAACTTAGTATAAATGAAAAGAAAATACATGTTTTTATTTGCATGTATCTGGAATAAATGTTGATATCCTAAAAGCAGTAATTATATAATCTTAATTTACTTGGGCAGAGTTCAGCAGACTGATTTTTTCCCCAAAACTTCACATTCTATGAAAATCCTTCCTACTTTCCCAGTATGTTACATGTTTTGTAGTTATCTACACATTTAAATTCTGCTGAATATTATTGATGTACTTGGAGCTTTGTATATGATATGTATGTGAGGACATACCATTTCATTTCTGTTTTTGTGTTCCCCTTTTAATAAAAACAAAACTACTCATCCTTTGTGGTGTTTATATGGACATGGCATTTGATTTCTAACTTTTGTATTCCCCTTTTTTTCCTTTTATAGAAACAAAACTACGCATCCTTCGTGGTGTTCATCGCCCATGGACTGGTTGAGACTTACACCAAGCTGTTCTCCCACATCACGACCAACACTGTCATCACAACCACCCTGTCTGTGCTGGCAGAGCCCATGTCACAGCTGTTTGTGAACAACTCAAAGAGTGGACTCAAGCTTTTTGTTCCCTCTTTCATGACCAAGGTAAGGTTGGACAGATTGATAGGTAATGATAGATAACATTGTTGTAGCGCATATCCCCGCTCATCAGCAAGCACTATACACTTTACAACTTAACAATCTGTATGATTAGATTAGTGCAAGTGGACAGATTAATAGTTAATGAAAAATATTCATATAGGGCATATCCCCCGCTCTGCAGGAAGCATTTTACGCTTTACAATCTGTATGGTTAGATTAAAGCAAGAGGACGGATTAAAAGATGATGATAAATGTTATTATAGTGCATTTCCCTGTTCAACAGCAAGCCGTATGCACTTAACAGTCTGTATTATTAGATTGGTGCAAGACTGAAGTTAATGCCCTCATCTCCCACTCTGTCCATACAGGTTTGTTTATATTTTTGATGTTTGGTGTGGAGGTAATTTGACGTCTATTGACAAGGATAGTTGTATGTCATTTTGTAATGCATTGTCATAAGAAAGACTCATACTACCTTGTTATTCTGTTTTGCTTTGAAATACTTTTGTTATCCTTTGCTAAATATAAAGTTCCTGCATTTTACATTTGGTTTTCTTATTTAAGATGTGCACCGTTTGTTTGATGTGGTCAGATGATGAGTTTGTTTCCTTTTTATTTTGTTTGTCTCTGAATATAATAATTAATCCATTTTTAAAATTCTGTATTTATTTTTTCGTTTTCCGATCAGCTGGAGAAGCTGTGGCAGGAAGTGTCTCAGTGCATCACGGGTCGCTACAACGGCCAGTACGACACTGAGTTTCTGGAGTATGTCTCTCCTCTGCTTGAGACAACTTTCCTACACTCGAAGCGGACCATCAAGAACCAAACCCTGACCATGTGGAATACCACTTTCAGTAAATCAACATCTCTGACCTACCCAGAGAAACTGAAGTGAGTATTTGTATTTCAAGTAGTCTGTTGTGCTGGCTGATGATGGAACTCCCGTTTTAATTGTCATTTGATAAATTCTTTTTGGATTGAGGTTGTTACTGTTCCAAATTGTTGTTTGGCAAGTCTTTTTGTTTGCTTGCTCAAGAAATTTTAGCATAAAGAATTTAATCACATTTCCTGTATTTGAGTCAGGTGATGTTTTTAAATGTTTGTAGGTCCACAGTAGGAAAATAGTTCCATCGAATCTGAGATCCACCTGTTACATTTTTCTTGTTCTCTTTCAGTGTATCTAGAGGAAAGGAAAAGGAACAATATTTCAAGGAATTGCCTGTTAAGTTTGTCTTACATGAGCAAGATAAATAATAGAACATGTTTTCGCTAACTTGGTAGTTGTATTTTGACTTGGATCACTTTTATAGTCTTAAGTGTTTTTGTGTTTCTACTACTATATCTTGCTCTCTGGTTCCCTCAGGCCTGTGTTGATGAAGGTCAAGGAGAAGACGAACATCATCCTGCCTGGCTGGATCTCACAAGAGGCCGGTGTGGTGGCGGAAACTCCCTTCAGTGAAATGAGCATGGTGAGCTGTCTTGATAGCGGTGCCATTTTTTCTGGGTTGCACTAGAATATCGGAACTTTAGAATGTTCAAGACGTTATAGTTTTGCTTGACAACTTGTGTCCCACTGCATGGGTGCACAGTCGGCATGTTGAGAAAATTTCAATAGTTTTATAACACATGTCTTTAGTGCGCATTATTTATTCCCTTGGCTATAGCCATACCTGCCAACCCTACAGAAAAAATTGGTAGATCACCAACTTTTGGGTCAAACTACTGATCCACCGATTTTGAGATGAAGCCATCGACTTCGGGATACAGCAGGGTGACTGCCAGGCCCCTGGAATTTGAGAAAGTTATCGAATATTTGAAAACCAAATCCGATAACGCCCGTAAGTTCATTTTTGCCGGTCGCGATTGTGATTCATTCGGCTCCCTCGAGAGTATGTTTGTTCACGCAGACAGGCGGCTTTGGTGGCAAGCGGGTGTGATACCGACATTTGATCGGGATAATCAAGATATACTTTCACTTTCGCTACCACCCAGAAATCTGCTAGTAATA